GTCCAGGAGATCCAAGCGAAGCCTAACCGGCGTGGTCCGGCGTGGCTACGAACTGGGCTCGGTTGAGGATGTCATTTGGAAAGAACCTGCGGGGGGACGGGGGACGGGACGACGCTCTGTGAAGAGCCCGGCCGGCTCTTAGTGGACGCGGCGACGAAGGAAGGCGTGGTAAGCAGCCTCTTCCCGCCCGGTGCAGAATCCGAATTGGCCGCTTGATTTGCTCGCCACGTTTATGAAATTGACAATTCGGATTCTGCACCGGGCGGGAAGAGGCTGCCTACCACGCCTTCCTTCGTTCCTTCCACAGCCCTTAAGAGCAAAGCCAACCCGCGGGGTTTATTGGCAAACGGGACGGGGGTTTCTAGGCTTCCTTCTGGCTGAAACCGAGCCATCCCGGGAACAGCCCCGGCGCACAAAGCAAGCGCGTTAGAACTCAGTGCCAGCAAAGAGCTGGACGGGGAGGGCGGTTGTGTGCAACCCGCCGGCCTTAAATCTCTCTCTCTCTCTCTCTCTCTCTGTGTCCACACACAGACCCACGCGCGCGCAAGAAAGTATCGCCTTCTCGCCAGTGCATCCTTCTATCTCCCTCTCTCTCTTTCTCGCTCTCCCTCCCTCCCTTCTTTCCTCCCGCTCCCCTTCCCTCTCTCTCTCTCTCCCTTCCTCTTTCTCCTTCCCTTCCTCCTGCTCCCTCCTCTCCCCCTCCCTCCCCTCTATTTCTCCCTCCCCCTGCTTCTCTCTCCCTCCCCCTTCTCTCTCTTTCTCTCTCCTCTCTCTCTCTCTTTCCCCCTATTTCTCTTTCCCTTTCTCCCTCCTTCCCCATCTCTCCTTTCTCTCCTCTCTCTTTCCTCCTGTCTCTTTCTCTTTCCCTCTTTCTCTTTCCCTCTTTCTCCCTCCCTTCCCGTCTCTGTCCCTCCCTCCCTCTCTCCCCCTCCCTCCCTCTCTCCCTGCCTCTTTCTCCCTCTAGCCCTCTTTCTCCTTCCTTCCCCGCCTCTCTCTTTCTCTCCTCTCTCTCTCTTTCAATCTGTCCCTCCCTCACTCTCTCCCCCTCACTCTCTCCCTGCCTCTCTTTCTCCCTCCAGCCCTCTTTCTCCGTCCCTCCCCGCCTCTCTCTCTCTTTCTCTCCTCTCTCTCTCTTTCAATCGCTCTCTCTCTCCTCAGCACCAACGCTTACCGAAGGCATAAATTTTGCGGAAGGCAGGCAGGCAGGCCCACCAAACGAAAACAAAACCAACTACGGGCCTGGCAACGGGCGCGAGGCTCCTTCCCTCCGCCCAGCGTGCCTTCCCTTCCCCTCCCCCGCCGGCAAAGAGACAAAAGTGGATCACGGCTAATTTAAAGGTTGGTTTGTGTGCGAGCGAGCCACGGCTTCTCCCCCGCCGACAAGAGACGGAGGCTTTGAAGGTAGCCAGTTCCTTGTCAATAAGTGCCTTTTGTCTAAGCCATATTCAAATGGGGAAAGCATGGCTCGCCAATCGCCATAGAAAGCTTAACCCACCATGAACATTGTCCAAGCACCAAGTCTTCCGTTCCGGCCAGAATCACTTTGAAGTGGGGCAAGATGAGCTGTAGTCAATTTCAACTCTATAGACTGGTGGGGGGGAGGGCCGTCCCCCCAGCAGAAAACGGGGAGAGAACTTGTTTTAGCTTCCTCATTGTCCGATACCTTTCATCTCTGATATATTTCCCATAAATGATTGGGGTGGGGGGTGGGGACTTTTTCCTCTTCTCCTTTTCACCACAAACTCCTCCTCTCGACTGCAGCCCCTACCAGGATGCCCAGTTCATGCCTTCCCCACCTTTACCTCTTTGCTCCCCGCTTTCTAAAAATAATTCCATGAAATCTCCTTTGCAAACCTCTTTTAATTTCCACCATTTCAACGCCTCGGCTGAAAAAACAAAGTGGGCGGCCCCCTGAGAATTACAGAACCAGAGAGAGTTAGGAAATAAGTTGGGAGAAGCGTTTTTGTGTAAAGCACATTGTAGGGAAAGGGAGATAGGTAAGGTCTAGCCAATCCCTCCTCTTTCCTCAAAATAAAACCTTAAACCAGTCCCCAAACATCTCCAAGAATCTCCGAGTTGTCTCCCATTGTTTAGGAATACCACTATAGTTAGATAGAAACATATTGCAATGCTTTATATAGCAAGTGGCATGTGTTGCTCATATTAGATTTTTCACCCATTCTTTGCTTAGAGCAGTTTGAAAGGTTAGCTCTGAAAGGTTAGCTGGTTAAATAAATTGCACCAAATTGCTTTACAATAGAACACCGCAGACCTTTAAAATAATATTAGTTAGGAACGCTTAAATCCTATTTCATATTTGTCCTTACTTCTTCATCCAAGGTGGGAAAAATATTGAAGAGCAGCTCATATTGTCATCTGCCCTCTTCATCTTTCTTCCAACAATAAAGCACAGATGTGAGATATAAGAAGAATATTTTTATTTCACTTAAACTTTTTTTTACTTATGTATGATCAGGTTAACAAATATGAAGGAGGTACTAAGTGTTATTTTTTAAAAAATGTGATAAAGCCATGGCACAATAAAGAATACTGCATCCCCAAAGATAACCTCAATTATTTGGAAGTATGTCCATTGGAACAAAGTACCTTCTTCCTAGTAATTGTGTACCTCTAAAGATGTCAAGTTTCACATTAAGCAAAACACGAGGGCTGGTAATAGTGCAATTTTTCTTTCCAGAAGGAGGACATGAAAATAAAATGTATAAATTAAAAAATAATGCATTTAAAATCAGCAAGACATTTTCCCCCCAAAATAAAGACTGCCAAAATTGAAATTACCTTGTGAAAGTCCATGCCTTTTTCATTGTATTTTTCTTAGTATCTGAACGGATTGCGAATAAAGAAATGGAAAACAAGAAAACAAGCAAACGTAGTTTAAAAGTGGTTTGTATTCAAGTTCCCTTTATATACTTATGGATATAGACATTAAAATGTCCTTTCCTTTGTATAACAATATGGTGAGGGCATTTAAAAGCTTTCAGATGGACAGTACCATGCACTGGACTAAAAAAACAAATATATCTATAAACTACCGAACACCAACACACTGCACAGCAGACATGCAGAAAGGGTCTGTTTTCACATTACATTATTCATTCAAGTAAGTTTGAAAAATAGGGTGAGGTTTCCTCTGAAACAAACCACAGAATTATAGACAGCTTTCACCAAAAGTATAATAGTCTTCTTTGGTGCGTTCTGTATGCTATAAAAAGGGGGAGGGAAATGCAATGATATCTAAAAATTAAAAAAAATAAATTAATTTAGCTGTACAAAATAAATCACTTCCACATACAATTTATAACAATGACAAGACTACATATTACAATACGGGCACATTTAAAAAAAAAAATTCCCACTCGTTTCTACAAGCCCTGGGAATCGGTAAGCAACCAGTTCCTTATTCAGTGGTCTCTGAGGATACATTAGTGCTCTTTAGAATATCTGTAGGGTGTTTATGACGAACCAACGTTTTGCATTTGAAATGTTTCACTAACCACATCAGAATTTGTCAGTGTTCCATGACCTTTCCCTTGAATAGCCTGGCAGTGAGGCCAAAGGCAATTTATTTTTTCTCCCACCCCATTCCGTTTATCCATTTATGACAATTTACTTTGGTCACTGAATCATTGCATATAATTACAGGTGGTGAAAAATATGAAATTGCTTATAAAACCTTTGTATAAAAAAGGGATGAAAAGCTGGGTCATGTAAAAAATATTCTTTCAGAAAGAAAGATGGTTTCTCCAGCATTATACCTCTTTCAAAAGAAGGGAGAAGTTTGATCCAATGCCTTACTTTGGGCTCCATTTCCAAACATTATTTTTCTCATAAATCTAATATGCTTCAATTCCGTGTGACTGGTTCACAAGTAAGTATACTTAGATTCATGGTCTCAACTAAGAAATAGGCAGGGGTGGATTATTTTTAAAAAGGAGAACTTGTAAAGGAGTCCTGCTAAAAACTAGCTGCCTATAAATAACACCGAAATCAGTGAGAAAGTTGCTTTCAGGTACCTTGAATGCCTAAAATAATAATAAATAATTGCAGCATTTACACTGACACCAGCAGTATTTTATTTATCTCTCTGTCCCAAAGTTAGAGCTCAGTAAAGTTTTAAAAATTAGAATTATTTTTAAAAAATGAACATATGCAAAACTAAAGACCTAAAGATATGGAAACATACTGATGTCCTGAGGCCAGCCAATCGATCAATGCAGATTGTTTATTCTGAAGATAAATATTTAGCATAAAGGAACCAAAAGAGAAAATCCAGCTTTTTGTGAAATCTTATTTAATTGGGATTGTAACACTCACTCCCTTCCCTCAACTGACCTGGAAGTAAGCACTATTTAAAGATCAATCTTCTATGCAAGCAGTCTTAGCATTAACCTTCAAGGAGCAATTATAACTAGGAATAGCCAGAGTTTCAACATTAGTGTTAGTCTGATGCAAACATCAGTTCAAGGATTATATTCATTCGCTCCCTTTTGAGATCTTGGGGGATTCCAAAGGCCATGAACTAAATACAGAGATTATGAATGCAAAAAAATCGTCTGGCAGTTTAACAAATGACAAACGTAGAGCAGAATAAATCTTTCAAAGATTATAACGCTGACTCCTGGCATCAAGAGCATCCATTCACTTATGCTGCATTCATGAACCACATTTCTGGCTTTGTTTTGGAAAACATTTTCATGTCAAGCTGGCTATGCGTACATTGCAAATCAAGCTAGGCCTTGAACCTCTCCTAATTTATCCTTAGACTGGGAAGGGTGGGGGCAGAAAAGTAAATGCCTGTCGGGTTATTCTTGAAATCTAAATTGGTTTAAAAAAAAAAGACTCTTCTTTTTTAATAAAATAAAAAAGATATAAGTCCAATGACTTAAATTAATTACATATACAAACACCATAGGGTTTCATTTAGTTAATAAATAGACCAAGTGAACAAACATGGCACGTGCATATGCCATTCTAGAGTTCTAATGAATAGTCCTTGACTCAGAGTTCCTGTAGGTCTCTTCCTCCTCCTCTTCCTCCTCCTCCTCAGAAGAGGTGGCATTACTGGATGGGGCATGGAGGTGGTTGGCCGCCCCACTGGCCTGGCAAACGTACCATTCGTTGAGGTTGGTGACCTGAGGAGAAAGGCTGGTAGGCTGGCCCCTTCCTGATGAGTCCTGAAGTGGGGAAAGAGGGGCACCCAGAGCTGTCCCCACAGGCTGGTACCCGTGAGATCCTGGGGGAGGAGAAGGTGGTGGGGATTTGCAGTGGATCTTCATGTGTTTTCGCAAAGAGCTTGGGTGGGTGTAGGACTTATCACAGCCTCTGACTTTGCAGAAGTATGGCTTGTCGCTGGTGTGGACATGGGAGTGTTTCTTTCTGTCACTGCTATTGGCAAACTTCCGGTCGCAGCCATCAAACTCGCATTTAAAAGGCTTCTCCCCTGAAAGACAAAAACATCTATCGTTGGTCTCCTTGTGAAAAGAAAGGATGAAAGCCAACCTGCTTGCATTTACAGGTCAAACCAAACACCAGGATAATGGCGTCAAGCTCTAGCAAAGGAGGTTTAAAGCAGCTTGTAAAACAGAGAGGGAGAAAAAATGGAACATTACATTGATATTTCTCCCCCCCCCCTCCCATCCTTTCTCACCACCCTCCCCCACCCTGCTGCCATGAACACACTTTTTCAGGATCATCATCATCATCATTGCCATCTCTCAATAAGAAGGCCAGCATATCAAGGTTTAGATTTGCTTCAAAGCACAATCCATACCACCCAGGAACATCTGCTAAACGATGATCCAATACAACACGATTTTCAGATAAAGGCTTCCAGCGTAAGAGAAAAATTGCTCCTCATCTCCCCTTTGAATTCTTATTAAAAATTAAAAATTGGGGGTTAAAAGAGGGAGGGGCTTGTAAAAGCTACCCAGGGAAATTGACCTATCTTCAGGAAAAAAAAATATATTTGGCCATAATTTCTTCAAGAGCAGCTGTTTAAACATAACACTGAGTATTTTTTTTTTTAAGCCACTAAGTTCCCCGGCCAACTGCATTCTCAGATAGGAAGGGATTCATTTTCCCCCATTGCTTTACCGCTTGCCAATGATTGGGGAAACAATCCAATAAAAGAGCAAAGCAAGTATATCCTCATAAAAAGAAGGGATCCACTGCCGAAGAAGGATCTCACCTCCAGCGGAGTGGGTGATGTCAGAAATCTAGAGTGACTCCCTTTCAGAGTGCTTAAATTGCAGCTTAATAATAAGTGCAACTTCAGGCTGTCTGTTCAGACATAATTGTAAGTTTCTCCTGTTTAGAAGGGATAAGATTCTCCTCTAAAAGACAGAAAGCAAAATAATCTGCAGATCTGTTTCTTGATGCAATTGAATTAAATAGATGGATGCCACAAAAGGCTCACTGACCTGCTCTGGAAGGTTAAACATTTTTTGTTGGTGACACTATTATTGTTTTTTTTAAAAAAAAGGAAGCCTCGTTTTGCTATTTTATGGGTAGAACTGAAAATATAATTCTTGCAGCCAGTAATAAGCCAAAGTAGCATCTTTCACCAGGTGGATTTTGCCACAAGAAGGAAGTCCCACCCTTCACTCTGCTTGGGTGAGGATGCCAGCTAGAACTGCGGGATTTTCGCCTATTTACTATTGCAAACAACCACCATCTGCGCTTTCAGGCGCTACATTCCTCGGGGAAACCTTTTTCCAATGCAAATATTTTCCGGCAAGGGGCCGAATTGCAAGCTACGCTGTTTCAGTCCAAGCAGAGCCTCCGAGTTCCAAGGAGAAAAGAGCAAAGGGGGCCTGCATAAGCGCACCAATCGTGCCTACTACCGTCCCTGTCCTATGGATTCCTTTTATTTTTCTTATATGTATCCATTTCAGGTATTCATAACTATGTTTATACTTATGCCTGTTATCTTATAATCGCTTGACAAATAAATAAATAAATAAATAAACAAATAAATAAACAAAAAACAAATCTGGCGCTTTCTCACATTCTCCAACGATGCTACTCTCCTAATATTACTGCACGGTCTGTAGAGGCTTCCCGGGGCCGTGTCAGCCCCTCACCCAGAGGGATTTCGGCAGCGGCCCGGGAAGAACGCAAGTTCGAGCCCAGCCAGTCCTGAAGCCTTCCCTGAAATCGGAGGCGAGGGGCCTCCCACAGGAGCTAAGACATTCCCACATCGAGACTTCCCTCACCCAACCCGCATTCGCGAGAGTTTTCCCTGGCGCATTTGGGTCAGGCTTTCCATCCATCCTGCTTGGGAAGGGGCGGGGGGGGGGAATACGTTGCCTTAGTCACAAGGATCAAATATCCCAACGCGAGACGCCTCTGGGGTTTGCCTTCCTTTCCGGCAAGAGACGCGCCATGGGAGTACCGGGTCGCTGTGGGAAGTTCCCAAATCGCGCCTTGCAGAGGCTCGCTTTTCTCCTTGGGAAACAAACCTACGTTCAAGCCCGGGAAGGATGAAGGGGATGGCCGTTGCAAGGGGAGCCTTGCTTTTCCTGCGCCCTGAGAAATCCAGCTTCCTCCCGCTTTCAGTCAAACGAAGCGACCTTGGGAGCTTGCAAAGCTTGAATGCAACACGTTCAACTTCGCAGCTACTACGATTGTTGGATGAGCAGGCACAAAAACAGCCGGGGAGGTGGTTGAAGCCTGGGAAACAGGCCTCAACAGGAATGCCGATTTACCATCAGCTGAACAAGTACTTAGAAGGCGAGGGCTGGGCAGCAGAAGCAAACCCACAACTTTAAAAGCCAGCCATCCATACATCCCATGAGCATCTGAACAGCCACATACAACAGGCATCATATAAATACACACACAACTGCTTAGAGAGGAGTTCCCTGCAGGTGGGTTCTAGACTCCACAAGCTCGGAAGACAAAACCTCTTGATCCCGGTGACCCACCCACATTTGATCCCCCATTATCTTGGGACACATACATTCGCCTTTATTCGGGAAGCATCTCTTCCTCCTCGGGAGCAACAGCCAGGAAAGGAGAAAAAGCCACTCACCTGGCCCAGCCACGCCTTCTTTCCGCCTAACCCTCAGCGTTGCCTCTTGCCTGAGCCCTTGGAGGAGGCCTACAAACAGCCTTGAGCCCTGCAACCAGAAAGGTATCAACTCCCTCCTTGGAGTCAGGGAACAAGAGAGATCCTGGCTGGCTCTCGCCTTCCGGGAAGGCTGCTCAGAAGAGAAAGAACGCACCCGCCACCAGGGCCCGCAGAGCCGGTCAAGCTCCTTTGCCAGCTGTTCTGTGTCCTCCTCCCCTCCGTCCCTTAGACCTGACAGAGCAGGCAGAAGACTAGCAGACCCTTCTGGTTCCCCTACATCAGGGGGTGCCTAAAACTTGGCAACTTTAAGACTTGTGGACTTCAACTCCCAGAATTCTCCGGCTGGAGAATTCTGGGAGTTGAAGTCCACAAGTCTTAAAGTTGCCAAGTTTTAGGGACCCCTGCCCTGCATGCCTGGCGCCCAAAGGATTGCCTCCCCAGCCGGCAGCGAGACCTGGAAAAGCAGCCTTTAAAGGGGAAGAGCCCCCCAAAACTGCAGGTGGGGGGGAGACCAGATACACACACACACACACACACACACACACTTACCTCATGTCTCCCCGGAGCACCAGCAAGAAAAAAAAAGGAGAAACAAAAGAATGTCTGCACTCAAAGAGGGAAGGAAGGGAGAGCAGAATTCATTTATTCTCCGATCTGCGGGACCCACGCAGCTTCTCCTCCCACTCACCCCACCCCACCGCGCGCCTTAAGGGCTCCGAGAAGTCTGCAACAAGAACAGGAGGCAGCTGCGTGCAGCCAGATGGGTTTGGTGGGGGCAGATTCGCCACCTTAAGATAAATAAATAAATCGGGCCGCTCTGGTCGCCTGAGGCCCATTTGCTTTGGCGGCTGAAGAGCGCATTGCACCTCGTCCGCCCTCGCGCGCTCTCTTTGCAAGCAAGACGCGATAAATCACAAAAACAATTAGGTGAATTCCCCTCCTGTGCTGCTCACCTTCCCCATAAAACGTCTCTGGTGGATAATATCTGTCTACAGGCCACTATAAATTCCAAGCTGCCTTTTTAAGGAGAATCAAAAAGGCTGCCGCAGATCAAAACCAAGCCGTAAAAGTTAACAGCGCCGTTAAAGCCAATTCCAACTAAAAAGCCTCTCCAAAGCCCGACCCTGTCCTTAAGCAGCCAAAGGCCCCCCGGGACTCGTCTCACCTTCCATGGGGTTCTTCTCCACTTTGGGGAGATCGTTGTAAACCTTTCCCCTAGGTCAGCATAGATACCGGCATCTTTTTTCTATCAAACGGCTCCAAAACAAACCAGAACCACGAAGGCAACTAGCTATAAGAATTATGCCTACATTTTGAACGTAAGAAAGCAAAATAGAATAGAATAGAATTCTTTTATTGGCCAAGTGTGATTGGACACACAAGGAATTTGTCTTGGTGCAAATGTTCTCAGTGTACATAAAAGATACATTCGTCAAGAGTCAAGAATCATCAGGTACAACACTTAATAATAGTCATAGGGTGCAATAAGCAATCAAATCATACTAGGAAACAGTCAATAGAATTATAGTATAAACAAAACATAGAAACCCAAACCAAGGGCTTACAGCTCCACCAAAGTCGCTTCTCTGGATTTCACGTGAAAGACGTGGCACATTTTCCCCCTCTCTGCACCAAAGAACACGGGGGATGGATGGGTGGGAACCCAACATTAGATTTCAGAAGAGAAAGTTCAGAGTGCGCCGGTTCTTGGGGGACTCCTGGGGTTTTCCCCACTTCCCCAGGCATTGGTGTCTTTCCCAGACCTCCTCAGCGCTCTTCGTCTGCCTGTTGAAGAGTGCTGTGGAGCCGGAAAGCTCGCCAGCTGCCCAAGCCTCACAGCCCGGAGCTCCGAAGCTGCTTTACCGCATCGCCAAGACACGCGGAGATGCGACGTAATAACAGGATCGAGGTATCAGGGGGGCTTCCGCTCGCGGCGGTGTGGAGCCATCGCGCCCAAGAAATCGCTTATTCGTGATAAAAGTCACATGCCTGAACCGACGCCGGGCAAGAGGAAAGGCGGAGAAAAGGGAAGCCGGGCTTGGCGAGGCGGGACCCAGCCCACGAGGGAAGAGGCCACCCACCTGTGTGCGTCCTTTTGTGGATCTTGAGGTTCTCGGAGCGGGCGAAGACCTTGCCGCATCCCGGGAAGGGGCAGGGGAAGGGCTTCTCGCCCGTGTGCACGCGGATGTGGTTGATGAGCTTGTACTTGGCCTTGAAGGGCTTCCCTTGGCGGGGACACTCCTCCCAGAAACACACGTGGCTGCTCTGCTCAGGCCCCCCGACGTGCTCCACCGTGACGTGGTTGACCAGCTCGTGCATGGTGCTGTAGGTCTTGGAGCAGGGTGGAGGGCGGCCGCCGCCGCCGCCGCCCGCCTCAGCCTCCAGCCACTTGCAGATCAGTTCTTGCTTGATGGGCTGCCGCATGTAGCGAAGGAAGGCGGCGGCGGCGGCGGCAGCGCCCGCGTGGGACGGCGGCGGCGGCGGCGACGCGTGATGCGCATGTGCAGGCGGGTGCGAGTGGTGGTGCTGTTGCTGCTGCTGCTGCTGCAAAGCGGCGGCGGCGGCGGCCGCTAAGTTGACCGGATAGCCGTGCGGCGCAGGGCCGTAGGACGCTTCGGAGCCGGCGGGCGAAGGGCGGAAGGGCTCGATGCGGCCGTAAAACTCCGCGGCGGCGGCGGCGGCGGCAGCCACGGCCAACCCCAAGCGCATCTGGCCGTTGAGCGGGTGATGCCCGCCGGAGGTGCCGGCGGGGTGCTCGTGCAGGCCCGGAAAGACGGCGGCATGGAGGTCGCCCCCAGCGCCGTAGGTGCCGGCCGAGGAGATGAACATGGGCGAGCTGGCGGCCGCCGGGGGCTGCTGGAGCTGCGGCGGATCCCCCCGCAAGCCCGGCTCCCGCCGCAGCGCCAGCTCCCTGTCCGCCGCCGGGTAAGGCTGACTAGCCGAGGCGGGAGCCGCGCCGTTGGCGCCAACTCCGCTCCCGGCCGATTGCAAAGAGGCGGCCGCGGCGAAAGTCGCTTCGGGGCTGGCTGGGCTGAGCTGGAGAGCCCCCGCCGCCACGTGTTCGGGCCCGAAGGGGGCGGTAGCAGCCGCGTCCGAAGAGCCCAAGTCCCCCGGGTGCAACGGGTGGAAGCCGCCGCCGCCGCCGCCGCCAAAGGAGTCGGCCAAGCGCAGGCTGGGACTCCTCTTACAACTCAGCGCGGGCTCCATGCCGCCGCCGCCGCCGCCCACTCGCCCATCGAGCCGCACTGGGGTAGCCCGGGCCTGGGCCAGCCCGGCGGGGGCTGAAGCCTTCCTCCCCCTGCCCGCTGCCGCCGCCACCGTCACCAGCGCCGCCGCCTTGCCAAACATGGAGCGATTAAGCGGCTCTTTAACTTCTTTTGTCTCCTCCGCTTCCCAACTCGGCTGCTCATTCCATCCGCTCCCCGCTCTGGCCTCCAGCGATTGGCAGAGCGCTCGGCACATTTGAGCGGCGCGGTTGGGAACCAGAGTTTGGAAATGTGCGCGGGTGGGATTGGAGGGAGAGCGATGATTGGCAGAGGCCAGGGCAGCGCGATTGGCTCCCATTCAGGCCGGGCGCTCAGCGGGAGACCGCCCTCGCGCTCCTGCCTGCGTCCTCCCCCTCCCTCCCCCCCTTTCCCCCCCCTCTTTCCCGCACTTGCTCCACAGCTCCTTCTCCCCCTCCCTCCCTCCCTCCCGAAATGGTTGCCCTCGGCGGAAAAGAGAAAGGGAGAGGAAGAAGGGGGGGAAAGTTCGCGCCTCGTCGCCGAGGAAGCGCCAAGCGAGCGGCGGCCGAGGAGGCCGACTGACTCTTGTCCCGAGTTTCGTGAGGAGGAGCTGTTGGGCTTCCCTGCCACCTGTAGGGCGCCGGGTTGGCAGCTGAGCCAGGCGCTCAATGAACGGCCCTTCCGCCTGCCTGGAGTCCGCAAACTCCGCTCTTGGATCTGGCACCGGCGCCTGGTCTAAAGTCTCGTGTTTACAACAGGTTGTTTCTTTGACGGAAGGCGCGTGGAGAACGGCGGCGGTTGTAATAGTCCACATTAAGTGCTGCCCCGTTGACACTCCGGCGAGAAGGTCTTATTTATTTCTCCTTGAAGGGCCTGAAGGAAGACCCCCCAATTGCAACGAAGTTTCCCCTAACGAGCCCATCCGGCTGAGACCGTCCGGCCTCGGTTCCAGGGAGAAGTCGTTGCGCCCATCCCTGAGAGAGTGGGCTTCCCCTTCCCCCCACGAGCAGAGATGCAATTTTTCCACGCGGGCACTTTGAAGGTCCCGTGGATACCCGTTTCTTCTTCGACCCTCCTTCAACCCAGGCACTGACCTACTACCGCCAAGGCCGCCTCGCGGCCCCAGAATAGCCGCTGCTTTGCAAGAGAGAGAGAGAGAGAGAGAGAGGCGGCGACGAGGAGAGGGTTGGCGAGCCGCTGTGGAAGACTGCCAGCGTCCCTTTCGTTAGAGAAAGCAAAGCATTCCTTTGCTTTCATCGCTGGGGCAGAAGGAATTCGTTTCCCAGTATTCCGTCTTAAACGGTCGAGTCTGAGAAAAGAAACAGATCCCCCTTATTTAGTTCTTCTCCACATCATCTCCTCCTCTTCCTCTCCTCCCCTCCCTGAATTAATCCCGCAAATGTTAAATCATTACTACCGAACGTCCAAATTTACCTCGTGCCTTTCGGGTCTCCTCCTTCCCTTCCAAACTTTGTTTTATCCAAACCGTTTCCTTAACCCTTCAGAGGGGAAAAAAAAAATAATACCTGAGACCTCAGCGTGGTCTTTTCTCCGCGTAAAGTTTGTCAGGCCCTCCCTTTTCAAGAAGTATATCTGGCCAGCTCAAAATTGTTTTCAGAAGCAGGTGGTGAGGGGGGAAAAAAACAAAAAACCGCAGGAACTCATTCTGGTCAGAAAGAAGGCGAGGAGGGAATGGCGGGCCCCCCAAACCTCTAGCAGCTCCTCCCCCTCCTCTTCCTCCACTTCGTTTTTTCTTACGTTGGTGCAGATAGATTATTATTATTATTATTATTATTTTGTAAATTCGTAGTTCTCATGACATTAGTGGGATTTGTCTCTTGGGGGTGGGTGGGGGTGCGGCTGAAGTGATGGCAAAGCAAGTCTCCACATTTGGGAACGGAGAGGACTTGCTCTTAAAAACAAAAACACACAAAAAAAACCCGGGGTGGATGAGGGATGCAGTATTGCGATTCGGAAACGGAAGAGGAAGGAAAGCGGCCTTTTCACAGTCGGCGTGGGGAACGCGAGGGGCCGCGGGAGCGAGCCTCACAAACGGGGCAGTTGCATTTCCTTTAAGAAAAGTTAGTAGGCTACTTTTAAATAGCGCGCGAAGAGACCGGGCTGGGTTCGCCGCGCGCTTAGGCTGGCTTTTTTATTTTCATTTTTTATTTTGGCGAAGGACCCGTATCTAATTTGCCTCAGGCTGACGCGATGCAGAAAGCGTCCCACGCCAAGTTCAATTCTCCTTGCAGTAAAAATGATCGACTTTCCTTGAGCTTTTAGCCTAGGGAGGGAGGGAGGGAGGAGACCCCTTCTACCAGGAACCGCCCCCACTTTCTCACTTGCCCTCAGGTCGCGAGATAAGGAAGGGCCGCCCGGGTCAGTCATTACAAGCATCTGTTAGGAACTGGCCACCCAGCGAGTAACGCGTGTCCTTCTCATTAAATATCTTCCCGAGCAATATCACCCGCCTTTCTTTCCAGGTAAAAGCAACCAGATCCAAGCAGGGACTCTATTCGCCTAGCAAGCGTGTTTAGGATTCCAAGTGTCGAGAATAGATAACACTTTTCAGTGATTCTTTCACCGTTGTGCTGTTCCATCTTCCAGTTAGGATGGGTGCTTAAGTAGGATCTTAACCGGAATGCTCAAAGTCAAACCTTTTCACGCAAGGGCCCAGGTCAATCGCACCGGCGCACCTGAGTTACAAGTACTGCAGCTGCGCGCAGCCGCCTCGAACCCACGTCCTTCTTCGCCCTCTTGTCCAGCACATCAACCTGATATGGAACTGCCCTCGATTCCCAGCGTCCTAATCCAAATTGCTCTCCCCGATCCATTGCTTCGTTGAGGGAGGGGCGGATGGGAGGTGTGTGTGTGGGGGGGGGGGGTGTCTCCAAACAGTCGATGTTTCAAGGCTGGAAGGAGGGGTGAGGATCGTAACCTTGCCTGTGGGAGTGGTCGTCCGGTTTGGGACAATGTGGACGATAGCCAAAACTTCTTGGTGGGACCGATTGAATGGAAAGCTGCGGTGGAATGACAGACAGGGCACACAAGCTGTTTTTGAAGAGGCCTAATGACCCTGTCAACCCGCGTTCTGCATGCCTTGGGGATGTGAGATTCGCGTCTTGTACACCCAACCCCTGGCCAGGCAACCCAAGGGGCTAAAAAAGCCCATCCTGTGACCCAGACTGTCGTTTTTGTTATCTCGGGCTAAGCAGCAAATTAGGCGGAAGACTGCCCCCACCACCACCATTATCATCATCGTCATAATCATCATCATCATCCCTGTTATTATCTTCATCACCGCCGTGGTCGCTGATGGTTAGTGGACCAAGGAGAGCGTCTCGTCTGAGCAAGATAGTAGTAGCTAGGTAGACCTTATTCCGCAATCCTGGAATGAGAAGTCGGCTAGCTTCTGAATGCAGTAAAGCAGCGAAGGGCCGCGCCGTTATTATGAAGCAATTAGTCTGCAAAATCGGGCCTGTCTGTCCAGGATTCACTCTTCGAAATTGTACAAGGGCGAAACATTCGCGTTTTACTACTGTGGCCCATTCGAACCCTACCAGAGGAAATAGGTGATTTCGGTATTATAAGGGGGTATTTAATTCGGAAACACCTGCTTTTTCCATTGATTTCGCCAAATATAGTATATTCCCCATACCAATTACTGTAATGAGTCGCTTTGCTTTCTCCCTTCCAGTTTGTTTATTTGTTTTGTTTATCTCCCTTTCCCTCCTTCCTATTTCAGTCCACCGGCACGTTTCGTAAATCACCTCTCTAGAGTTCGTGTTTTTGTTTGCTTGCTGTTTAAGGCATTTGTTTGACGGTGGCATTATGCAAATATATGATAATGATCTCGAAACCCATTTGCAAGTAGTTGTCTTTAGTGCACACATGTTATTGATATTCGGGGGTGGGGACGATATTCCAGAATAGAGGGAAAAATGCCTTCTGGGGAATAATTAAAACGAGAGAGCAATTAACAGCTTTTCTCAAGATCCTTTAAAAAGCCCTGCCAGCAGAACAGGCACCACATTCTTCAGGCGCGCGTGCGTACACACTCTCTCTCTAGCTGTGTTAGTCAACACACTGGATGAAGTCAGTTGAAGTTGGGTTAGTTTTCATTTTGATTAAAGCCCTTCCCTCCTTCTTTCCTTCCCTCCTTTCCGTAGCTTGACATGTTCTGTGAACACACCCCAGCCGGTCTCTTTATGTTAAATGTGTTGTGTATGCAGAGCACAAAAAAATAATTCAATAATTGGGTTAAATACGTTGTGCAAATTTAGCATGGGAAACCGCTAGGAGAGCAGAAGAGATACCTACGGAGAGAACTTATTGTGTGGAAAGAACAACTTATTCAGCTACGATTTTTTTTTTAGATCCTGATAATTTTCAAGAAATTCGTACCATTCCTCTCAAATAAAGGAGTCTGGGAAAGATTGATTTTCTCTCCTTTTTTCCACAAGTACCTGTTGGTAAACGTAATGTCCTCACTCCCATCCCTTCTTCCACAGGAACTAGCATCCTGCACCTCTCAAAAGGCACACACCTTTTGTCCCAATGAAACCAGTAAATTAAGTAGCTGTCCCAGCCCATTTCTACACTAGT